ATAAACAATCGTGGTATAAAGCTCAATAAAAATATTAAAAATAAAATAAAGATAAATTAACTCCAACTAACTAAATTAAATGATATTAAATTAAGGTAAATTAAATTACATTGAATTAAATTAAATAAATAAATTAAAGAAAACTTAACTTAACCAAATAAAATAGTAAATTTAACGGAAGTAAGCCACTACAGCAAATAATCTTTATAAATAAATTAAACTAAAATAAGAAATTAAAAAGTACAAAGGTGGTGCTAAGTGTACTGTCACTTACTCACCCCGTGGTGAGGAAGTGATAAAAATGGATAAACGGAAGCAAAACCAAGGCACCGAGATCCAACCCCCGTCCGGGGCTAGTAGCCCCTTCCAGCGGAGCGGAATGACCCAACGATCTCCCGTACGTAACACGTTACTGGCCAGACGACCAGCCAGTGGCAATACGGATGTCCCGAGTTCAAATAATGTGGAGGATTCTGCAGGGTCACCAGCAGCACGCATAGAAAGCGGAAATGGGGCTGACTCTCAGAGAATCCAATCAATCGAGAACTCTAGTGAAAAGTACAACGGCGCCCTCCGCATGATTGGGGAGAAGATTGGGGAACTGAGGAAGATGATGGATAGCCAGATGCACGTAAATCAGCAAATGAAAAACGTCCTGACCAGCATCTCGAAACTCTTCGAAATCGTTGAGAGTAATGATCCAGAAGGAACCTCAGTTAGTACTTCAGTGAAATCGACTCAAACAGACCGGCCAGTCAAAGGCGATAAAACAGGGAAGAGGTCGGCGAACGAACCCACACCCGAGAACCGCCCACAACCGAAAGATAAACGCATTCGTGTCAACTCACCTCGAGCACAAGCAGAGAAAATGGATCGCCAAACTCGTAGCAGTGATCAACCAGCAACTGCTGACAACGCGGCCCAGAAGCCAAAAGGCGATAACCAGTCGCTATGCTCCAACGTTACCACAGCCAATTTAAATATGGAGTGGACTAAGGTGGAACCGAAAAGATGGCAGAGAAAAAAGCCGACCCGCCCGGACGCCATTGTAGTCAAATCCTCTGGAGAGTGTTCTTATGCTGACATTTTGAAAATAGTAAAGAGCGAGGAAAGCCTGAAGGGTTTAAGCGAAACTGTGCGGAAGATCAGGAAAACAGCTAGTGGCGATCTCCTGTTTCAGCTGAATAAGTCTGAGGACGTAAATACTGCGAAACTCCAAGAGGCAGTCGAAGGAGTACTGGCAGGTAAAGCAGAAGTCAGGACCCTAACTGAAATGGTT